GCGCGGGCTCAGCTGAAACTCCGGAATAGCATTCGCTTCACCATTGAGCGGTCCATCGCATTGCAGTCGCGGTTGTCTAACGACGAGGCGTCGCATCCTACCAACATCATCTTGCTCACGGCATCCCTCCTGGAACTCAAGGAAGTAGAATTGATCAAAAAGCGTTTGAAAGACGTCAAAGGCTGTGGTTCTGAGTTTTCCATACAGGTAGTTCTTTTCGACGGCAATCTGTCCAAGGGCGTGACGAGATATCATCGCCAGCTAGACGAGCAACAATCAGGCGACAGAGACATATACAGTACTATCTCCTTCGACGAGACTATACTTCTTCGCGAAGGCTTGAGCTCGATTGCCCTGAAGACGATCTTGAACGGTCACTCCAGAGAAGTCAGTCGGACGAAGTTCAGCGCGGATCAAAAGTACGGCCTCCACGGGGGTGCCCCCTTCGACCTCCCAGCAGTTGCCGAACTACAGAAAGCTCTTGGACTTGGGACAAGCTGTCCCGACGAACAGACTCTCGGATTCGTCGATGTACAGGCGCCCGTAGTCGACTTGGAAAAGGCTCGAGACGGAAAGGTCTAGGGTTAGCTCCTCTCTACCGCTGGTGGTGCCGTTGCGAGCACCAGACAGATAGTTGGACCAGTACTGGCCGTGATCCTGGGCGTAGTCGGAAATTTAGTCACTGAGAATGGATTGGTTTCTTTGCTGGTTCGGTGCCTTTACTACGCAGGGCAGGAATTGAGTGAACGGTATTGAGCTTTGTGAGTAAACAGGTATCTTGCCAGCAGTGTTGAGAAAGACCTTCCCATCAACATGAAGCTCAGAGTCAAATGTTCGTGCGCCCTGGACGCTGATCGCTGTTGTAATAACGTGGACCATCAAGCATTGCTCCCCCTCTACAATCTCGGACACATCTGCCTTTGTTCCAGCGTGCATGGGGTACGGGCGGATGATTGTGCCTCCGTGCATCCTCATTCCCAAGCAAGCACATGTTCCGCTTCGCCAGTGGCTCGCTTGCTTCCCTTCCCGATTCCGTACTGCGAGAAGAGAACCGGAAGCCCCTAGTTGGGTTCGGACAGTCACCTGGGCTAGACACGAGAGGGCTACGATGAACAGTAGCTAGGGTTTCGTGTACATTGACTCGCTTCCCGCACCGAAACTCGGTGAGAGCAACCAGACCTGCTTTACCAAATCTCTAGCGGAATCAAATCGCCACAGGAATGAAAGAGAAGGCCTCTAGGACTTTTCTAGTTCACAAACCGTGGCGAGGAGGACTGTATGAGCCTACCTAAATACACGCTGGAGCACGGAAGATTATAAACCTCCCTTGTAGAGAAGTCGCACATATAGAATTCGAAACAGATAGCTGCACAAAGCTAGTATTCGGACTGTCTCTAGTCGTACCACGCTATTCGGGCGGGAACTGCATAGAAGTGAGAGCTTTTCAGTAAGGGAGTAAGTTGATTGTACATCCCAGACGTAACGTGACTCCAGCGTCTATGGCTCATTGCCAACGTTTGCCTCGCGTACGTAAGCCTTTGACACATTAATCTTGGGCTTGAGCCCTTTCTCAAGGAGTTTCCACATAATCCGAAGATTCTGATCATGGCCGATCGTTGTGATCGACAAATCCTACGCAGTTGGCTCGCCCTAGCACAGGCACAGATGTCCTGTATCACTGTAAATGCGTATTGTGTAGCATATCAGCGTCTTAAAGGTGAACTCTCACCTTTGCCCGGACGAACAGAAATTGGCCTGGTGACGCGTGAAAGAGTCGATCTACCATGAGACATGTCTGGAAGCGAGAAGGGCCATTCCGACTATCAAGGCCAGGCATCCTTTTCAATACCCTGCCTGCGCAATCTACGTGTCGCTCCAGCCAGGGAGCAGCTCTGGTGGTCGCCCATGCCGCGCCTAAATGATACAAGTAGCTTGTGCGCATTTGTTGAATATAGGCTCAACGCGAAATTCGTTTACAGATAGGATCTTGGCCAGAGGCGAACTCCGTGATATCCTGCGTCACGCAGCATCCCTTATTATATGGTGGCGCTTCACTATGTCTATCACTATGCATTTCGTTTTGTGACATACGCTGAAACGGCCGAGTTGTGCCTCCATCTCAACACGTGCCCAAGGAATCTTCATGGTCCGTCAACTTCGATAACAGTGTGAATATTGCAACCGAACTTACTCTTCAGCGGATCACCAAGATCCTCAGATAGTAAGGCTCACACGGTTCATTGTGCTCCTAGAGCCATAACTTTTCAGAAGAGAGCGACGATCTTTTCTGAGCCAACCCCTATTCTGGTCTCATCGAACCGAGGATGGCAAAAAGCGTCCTTTAAGACGTATACATGGTTCCACTTTCCTCCTGGGTCTTGAGACCTGTGATGTTGCCACCACGGTAACGTCCAGACCACACATACACCATCAAAATATCAAAGCGAAAGATCCATCAGCATCTCTAACGACAGAGCAAGCTCTGCCTCCAACAACGGGGTTTACCCGTGTCTCGCCATTCCGTGCAGCCTCCCCCGCTGCCACAAGCAGTCGGTCGGACATTCACCGGGATATTATTGGAGAGTCTCGCAGTTCTGCCCGCTTGTCGCCGGCGGGTGAGTTCATCTCTTGCTTCCACTTTATCCTTGACTGACCAGCTTGGTATTTCACAACCTTGCCCGCCCCAATGTGGCCTCACAGGAACGGTTTTAGGCGACGGACGGTTTAAGTGTCCCCGTCGTGCTATCAGTAGCCATGGACGACGTACAACATTCGGTGGCTTGTGACGTAAGCTATTGTTGAACCAAGTAGTGAACCCCTAGGAAAGTTGAATTTTGTCTTCCAAGTCGGTGAGTGGCTTCATCCCGCTTCTGTTGATCGACGAGTCGTAGACCGTTCTTCGAGCCTGATGATCGAGTTGCTGTGCCGTCTGTAATGGCCCTCTACCATAGTAACGGGCTGTGGGAGTGGTGCGTTTGATATAGAGCACAGAGTTCACGTACACTCAACTTGCTTTAGAGAAGTGAAAACAAGTCAAGTTTGACGGCCAGGTCGGTCTACGCCCTTAGACCGACATTTATCTGCCGGCTAGAAAAGCACAGAAGAAACAAGTACCAAACCAGACAGTAAGTTAACTTTAATGTGCGGGTTTTCGGTGCGAGCTCTAACGAAATAGGATCGCACGGGTTACGGCTGATTTGGGCAGAATCAAGCCGTAGATAGATCCCATAAGATGCCCTTTCTTAAAGAGTATGGAGATGGGTGATGGACTCCAATGTCGGTCCGAGATGCTTAGACGGATGGCGGCACTGTATCACTCGTTTTCTTTATGAATAGGCAAAACCCTTGTGGTTGTGCTAAAAGCATACCGTATACGTTCAGATTCTGCGCTAATAGCAGAAGATTGGTAGCACTGCGTGTACTTTGTACGGATTCAGAAGGAGGACATGAGCAGCATCATTGGTATTTGAATTACGTCTCATTTATTATTCATGTTTGCTTCTCTTATGGCGAATCACGTAATCATCCCGAGTGAAAGTCTGGCCACACTCGTCGCAAATCCCACCGATGGTAGGAAATCCCACCAACTGCGCCCATATTCTATGCGTCTTCCAGACATGTCTTCGTTTCTCTTTCTCCTCCCTAAAGAAAGATGGGCACCCAACCTTCGGACACTTCCTGTGCTGCCAGAGGTGTTTTCTGAGAAGTATGAGCGGAAGTTTGCTAACGCAGTGAAAAGTAATAAGCAATTGACTGTACTTACTCAAAGAAGCTTGGGTCTTTAGCAGCGAACGAACAGCCCTTCCACCGACAACGAAAGGTTTCGCTGACATGTCTCGACGAGGCAGATGCCCTGCTGGACGAAAACGGAGCGAGGTTGGCTTGTGTCGAGTTCGGTACTAAATCTGACAGCTTTGGCCCCCAGTCGAAGGTCCCCCCAAAGCAAGCCACCTCTGCGCCTGATGAGTTTCCCATCGCCGTTTGCTCCGCATACTCACCAAAGACATCCATCTGGTGGTGAAGCGGTGG